CCGTGATGAGAACGGGGTGATTAAGTTCCAGAACCGAGTGTGCATTCCTCAAGTGGATGAGCTGAGACAGATGGTGAGGAAGCACGCACATAAGAGCAGGATGAGTTTCCACCCCGATGCAACTAAAATGTATTAGAATCTCTGGAAGAGCTTTTGGTGAAATGGTATGAAGAGAGATGTGGCTGAATATGTGGCTAAATGCCTAACCTGCCAGCAGGCGAAGGTAGAACACCAACGTCCACCTGGATTGTTATAACTGCTAGAGATCCCTAAGTGGAAATGGGATAGTATTTCCATGGACTTTATTTTTGGGCTGCCTAAGACTAGGAACAACCATGACTCCATCTGGGTGATAAGGGATCGGTTGACCAAGGCGGCACACTTTCTCCCGATCAACATGAAATATAAATTGGAAAGACTTGCGAAATTATATGTGAGGGAGACAGTCAGACTGCATAGAGTGCCGACTAGTGTGATGTCAGATAGAGATCTGAGGTTTACCTCGAGGTTTAGGAGAGCCTGCAACGGGCGTTGGGGACTAGGTTGAGACTGATCGCAGCTTACCACCCACAGACTGACGGTCAGACTGAGCGAACCATTCAGTCCCTAGAGGGCTTGTTGAGGGCTTGTGTGCTTGAGCAGTAGGGAACTTGGGAAGAGTGTCTGCCTCTGGTGGAATTCACGTACAACAACAGTTACCGTGCTAGTATTGGAATGGCACCGTTTGAGGCCTTGTATGGGCAGAGGAACAGAACTCCGTTGTGTTGGTATGAAACCAGAGAGGCGACTTTGTGTGCACCGGATATGATCCAAAGGCAAAATGAGCAGATCAAAATGATCAGAGATAAAATGAAGGTTGCCCAGGATCGACAAAAGAGTTGTTATGATAGGAGGAGGAAACTGTTGGAGTTCCAGGTGGAGGACCATGTGTTTCTGAAGGTCTCGCCTGTGACCGGAGTTGGGAGGGCTCTAAAATCTCAGAGTTTTCTCCTAAGTTCATTGGGCCATTTGAAGTGCTGAGTAGAATTGGTCCTGCAGCGTATCGGATAGCACTACCTCCGAATCTCTCGAATCTACACCCGGTGTTCCATGTGTCATAGCTTAGGCAATATGTGCAGAATCCTTCCCATGTGATTGATCTTGACCTGGTTCAAGTGAGAGAAGATTTGTCATACAATGTGTACCCGGTTAGAATTGTTGATCACCGTGTTAAACAGCTGAGGGGCAAGGACATCTCATTGGTGAAGGTAATATGGAGCTCAAGTGATGAAGAAGATGCCACATGGGAGACAGAGAGCAGAATGAGAGAATTGTATCAGCAATTGTTTACGTAATTTGGTTGAATTTCAGGGATGAAATTCCTTAAAAGAGGGGAGAGTTGTAACGCCCCAATTTTGTAATGTTGTTAAATTATATATATATATATATATATATATATATATTCATATGTGTGTTGATTTACTCAATAGTGATGTAAATATATGTATGTGACCTTATTATGATATAAGTTTGTGGTTGGAATTAGATTAAAGGAAAATAGGCTAAGTTTTGGTGCAAGGCATTCTTGCTGCAGCGACAGATGTCTCGCTACAGCGAGAGGACCCTGGGTGAAAGGCATGCGTCTGTCGCCTTCTCGCTGTAGCGAGAATATCTCGTTGTAGCGACAGAGTAACAGTTTAGGGTGCAGTCTTACTATAGCGAGAGGGTCTCGCTGTAGCGAGATTCTGCAAAAATCAAGGTGCAGTTTGTTGTGATTTGTTGTTATTTTGTTGCATATTGCTATGTGATCGAGATAGAGGATAGGAATTGTGTGTTGGATGAAATTAATGTGCAATGTGATGTGTATTGGAATAGTTAGGCCCCATAGGGGTGATTGTGTGTGATGGAATGCCATTGATTGGTGAATTAATGTTATCGTGAATAAATGCAGGCTATGTGAATAGGGCGTGTTGGCATAGTTAGGCCCTATAGGGGTGATTGCGTGTGTGAATGAAATGTATGTGAATGGGGCGTGTTGGCACCTTTATAATGTGTTGTGAATGGTTCTGCGATACACTGGGGGTGTGGAAGATAAGGATGGTAGAAATACCTTGGGGAGGAGAGAGTAGTGGTGACACCGACTGTGGAACGGGTGCACCACGGGCCACACACTCTCTTCTTGACTAGACCTCTGACCACTACCTTTGCTAAGTGACCCATGACTGCCCACTTGGTATCCGTAAGGCGGGGGTAACCAGCGACCATCCATAGAAAATCTATTATCACAGTGCAACAGTGAGCATGACTGGCATGCAGTGAGTGCACGAGACTATTGTTTGTTAATTTCATATATATATGATTGTTTGGTGCCATAGGTGCATCGGTGACAAATTGAAATGAAAATGCTATTTATGTGTACTTTGCGTGAAGTATAGGCAAGGTGAGACTCTATGATAGTTGTGTATTGAGTAGTGTAGAGTACTCACCCTTACATTCATTTTTCAGGTAATCAAGATGATCAGCATCGGACTCAGTGAAGGGACGGATGGACTGCTATAGAACTTAGATTTTGTTTTGAAAATGTTGTAATTGAACTAGTTTTGTAGCAGTTATTTGATATTAATTTGTAACCCTTCTCTTATTTTGAATTATCTTATGAAAATTTGGTTATTTGAATTTGCGAAATTATTACTTTTATGAAGAATAGTGATCATGCCAGAAAGGCGGAAATTCTATAGATATGAATTAGCTCAGATATCTTGGGATCTTTTGTTCATTTTCACTTTCCATTTGTTTTCTAGTGTTGAGAGAGTCTAAGAGAGAGATTGGGGACTAACACCAAGCTTCAAATCTTAAGGAATCAGATTGAAGTTTGGCTTGAAAATGCTTCTTCATTCATCTTCTTCTTCTTTTTCCTTCTCTTCTTATTTTGTAATGGTTGCTTAAACTTATTGTAGTTAGGGATTGTGAATCTGAAATAGAAGTGTTGAATTGATTTTGGATCTGAACTTTGAGTATTGGATTGGATTAAGTAATTGATTCTGTTGTTCACATAGTGATTGAATGAGAATTTGATTAACTAATTATAGAGGAACTCTTATCAATGGAAGTTGAATTTGTTTCTCAGACCTGAATCAATTACCAAGGTTATTGATTTCTTAGGGATAAGATATCTTGATCTTGCAATCTTTTGGTTTTTAATGCTTAATGCAACATTTAATTGAACCAGATCTAAGGAATTAGAGTGATTTAGTTGAATGTTAGATTCATTGAGTTAATGAATTAACCTTTGATTAATAAAACATGAAACCGATTGTCATTCCATCTAAATACTTGAAAGTTCAGAACTTTATTGAAAAGACACTGAAGTTTTGGTGAAACAAGTTCTTAACTATGTTTTCTACATTTGTCAAATACATACTTTCATGTTCATTGTTCTGTTTTGTTTTCTAATTTCAATATTGGTTACTTTTGCTTCCAAACTTCATCTGAAATTCGTAAGGCTCAACTAATTATGGACTTGAGAACTGTATTCTCTGAGAACGATATTTGGGACTCAAACACAGTTCTAACATTTTATTACTTGATACAATAATACTAGTATACTTGCTAGTCAAAATTACTTCTATTAAGAGAGTGACAGTAGCTTGGGTGTAATGTACTTTGTTTTGGTACTCTGATGGTTGTGGATTATGTTTTAAGATTATTGGATAATTTGCGGTTACTTTGGATAATTATGGGATTATTTATATGACCAGGTTTATGTTATTAGTTATCTTCTGATTTTTATTTGGATGAAATCAAATAGGCAGGAAATTAGTTCTTCAATGCATACAGGTAATGAATGTGAACTTTGTGGGTTCGTCCCCTAAGAGAGTTCTAGTTGAAGTGATAAATCACATGTTGTATCTCATATTATTAGTAATTGGCTCATGAGCAGGTGAAAAAGATTAGAGTCTACTTGTATAGTTATGTCAATATATGGTATGGCTATATTATCAAGTGGTACTTACTAATATTATGATTTTCTAAACTATGAGTAAATGAAAAAAAAAAAATCTCATGAGTAATTATTAGTAATAAGAGTATGACGTGAATCTTTATAAATTGTTGTCTATCAGGTGGATGAAGAATCAAGATCCATGCTGTGACCGCGTGTCACTTCAAAATATATTAAAAATCAAGTTTCTCAATACTCAAGAATAATAGTGGTATCTATAAACCAGGTTGAATAATCCTATGCACTTATGTTTTAAAAAAAACCCATTTGGTCCAACACTCTTAATAGCAATCTGTATACATTACACGTTAAGTTATCAAAAAGTAGTAGGATTTTCGGGTCTCAGTCTTTGTCACCATTACACGAAGCACTTAACCCACGCAAGAATGAGGAAAGAATGAGAGAGTTCGAGAGAAAGTAAAAACAAGGATTCTTATTTCAGTCATGTCTCACAATCTTAAAGTGTTTTCATCACCTCTCCTAAATTAAAACCTTATTAGTTTATTTTTAAGCTCTGATTAGGGTAAATTAAATGACCAAAATTTGGGCCTTAATTATAACTACAAGTCCAAATACAATTATCTAATAACAAAGGATCTAAATGCAATCTTATAACAATATTCAATACATCTGCCTCAACTTTAAAAAATCATAAAAAATTAAAATCAACTCAAAATCCAACAATTCATATATGTATTTTGAAACCCTAGATGTATAGAATTTAATACAACTAGAATCAGCCAAAACTGATATTTGTAGAAAAGTTATGACCGAAAGAGTAGTCAGTGGTCAGAATTATCAAAAAATATGAAATTAAAACATTTATTTGTAATAGGCCAAATTTATTCCAATAAGTAGAAAATGGTAAAAACTCTAAAAATAAAGCATATTAAAAGTGGTTATAGACCAAAATAAAACTATAAATATAAACGTAAAATATGTCACATCAAGGAGCAGTGGTGGCTTTGGTTCTGGCTCTTACAGAGGGCCAATCAGATGTTTCAGATGTGGAGGGCCACACATGCTACGAGATTGCCCACAAGCACGGACCAACTGTGGCAACAGCGGAAAGTTGGGACATATTGCAAATGTGTGTTGGGCTGCTCTTAAGAAGAGCAATAGTGTGAGCACTAGCCAGAGGCCAAAATCAAGAGGAAGCATGGGGCCAAAGTCGAGCATTCTAGAGAAGGTATTTGCCATGAGTGAGGTAGAGGCTTCACAGTCTAAGGAGCTAATAAGAGGTAAATATGTTGTTAAGGGCAGATTGTTAGATGTGTTGTTTGACTCGAGTGTTATGCACTCATTCATTTCCATGGAATGTGTTAAATGTTTGGACTTGCATGTGACTGAATTGTCATGCAATGTTGTGGTGACTACCCCTACGGGTAAGCCAGTCATAACCTCATGGGTGTGTTTGTGGTATTCTGCAATGGTATATGGTAGGGACTTTGAGGTGAACTTGATTTGTTTACCTCTTTTCCAAATGGACGTGAGTTTGGAAATGAATTGGTTATCCGCCAACCATGTTTTGTTAGACTGGAAGGAAAAGACCTTGATTTGTGGTGCACTGACATTAGAAATTACTAGACTTTTAAGTCAAAGTGCGTGGGGGAACACGATTAATGCTAAGGCCTTTATGATTATGTTATCACTAGAAGTTGAAAGTGCGGTGGAGTCAGAGTATATTCCAGTGATGAGGGAGTTCTTGGAAGTTTTCCATAACAATGTTTCTGAGTTGCCACCATAGAGAGATAGAATTCAACATTGACCTCATTCTAGGAGCAAGCCCGATTTCTGTGGCATCTTATAGGATGTCACTGGTGGAATTAGCGGAGGTCAAGAAGCAAGTAGAGGACTTACTGCAGAAGCGGTTTGTAAGGCCAAGCATGTCACCGTGGGGAGCACCTATTCTCTTGGGGAAAAAGAAGGATAGGAGTATGAAGATGTGTGTTGACTATAGACAATTGAATAAAGTAACAATCAAGAACAAGTACGCTCTTCCAAGAATTGATGATTTGATAGACCAGTTGAGCAGAGCTGCAGTGTTTTCAAAAATCGATTTGAGATCAGGGTACCATCAGATTAGGGTGAAGGTTGAAGATGTACCCAAGATAGCCTTCAAGACGCATTATGGTCGCTACGAATACTTGGTGATGTCGTTTGGTGTGATCAATGCACCTGTTGTATTCATGGACTATATGAACAGAATCTTCCATGAATTTTTGGAAAAGTTTATGGTGGTGTTCATTGACGACATCCTAATTTATTCGAAGACTTAGAAGGAACACGCTGAGTACTTGAGGATCGTTTTACAAATTTTGAAGGAGAGGCAATTGTACGCAAAATTCTCTAAGTGCGAGTTTTGGCTATCGTAGATCCAATTTTTGGAACATGTGGTGTCGAAAGATGGCATTATGGTAGATCCTGCAAAGGTGGAAGTAGTGGCTCAATGGTCGAGGCCTACAAATGAACAAAAATTTGCAATTTTTTGGGACTAGCTGGCTATTATAGGAAATTCATCGAGGGATTTTCTAAAATAGCTTTCCCTTTGACGAAATTGACCTGTAAAGGGAAGGAGTTTAAGTGCAGTAGGGAGTGTTGATTATGGTCTATTTCGAGGTGTTTAAAAGATTTGTCGTAAATCCTCATCAAAATTTAAACAAATTAATATAGTACTAGAGTAACCCTAGATTGTCTCCCATGAACATTGGTTATTAATCTTCATTAAACATGTTGAAGGCATAAATTAAACAAGCAATTAAAATGGGGGGTTTTGTGGTTTCAAATCAAAATAAAGAGCAATGAGCAAATGAGTTTAATTAATTCAAACAATAAAAAAAAAACAATCCTTAGTTCATCCACATAGATTCTATCCTCATTCCACTCAAGATTTAACATTCATCCTCTCTTCCATGAATTAGGTTAATTTAACAAGCGAAAATCAACCTTATGGTCCCAACGAAATTACGCAATTTGTTAGGCTCTAATCTCTCATCCCAAAATTACGCAACCTTAGAATTAAATCTAGGATTAAGCAACCCTTAGTTTAGAATCTCCTAAAAATGAAATTAGGGTTAATTGAGCAATACCCCCCTCATTCACCATTAATTCAATTCAAGAGATAAGGAAGAAGTAATTCATGAAAGAAAGGAATTATATTATCATTAAATTCAAGGAACTCAAGAACCCATGTGAATTCACTAAGGATTACACAAACTTAGCCCTCCATGGAAATGGGGGTCAAAAACGCAATTGGAAAATGCAGAAAACTCATTAACATTAATGTAAAAGCAAGAGAAATGAGAAACCAAACCCTAGGTTGGACCCTTGGCTGTCACCCAAGGTTGCCCTAAGCTCTGGAAAATATTCTAAATTGAGTAAAGAAGAGAAAAGGTTCAAAAAGTGTAAGAAGTCTCTACCCTAATTTGGTAAAAATCTATTTATACTAAAGCTGGCGCCGCCCAAAGTAATTACTCTCATTCTTTCATAGTAACCACGCGCAGCATCAGTTGGGTTTTTCCTCTCTGGAGTGATTACTATGAATATTCATTGTAGTTACGCGCAGCACCTTCAATTTTTGCATGCTCTGGAGTGATTACTATGAATATTCATAGTAACCACGCAGAGGTTTGGTTGATTATGGGCTACTGTAGTTGTCACTTTAAGCTTTGAAAGTGATCACTTTGGTCCCTTTGCTGGAAATGGCTTGCTGTAGTTGTCACTATCAATATTCAAAGTAGTTACTTTCACCTCAAATTCCTCAAAATCCAATAATTCTTCAAAATAAGCTTGGGGATTCCTGCCATATTATTCAAATGATCAAAATATGTAAAATAAACTATCTAAATTCATGTAAATTAACAAAAAACTAAGAAACCTATATTATTTAGCCTAATTGGAATATTCATCTTATTTACACTATCTAAGTCTATTCTTTTCTATAAAAAGTAATAAATGATGTATAAAAATGTAGTAAAATGTGGATTCATCAAGTGTGAAGCTAGTTTCCTAGAGCTGAAGGGGAAGTTGAATTCAGCGCCGGTGTTAGTCTTACCTGACCTAGAACAAAAGTTTGATGTGTAATAAAATGCTTCTGGGCATGGACTTAGGTGTGTTTTGATGCAAGACGAAAGGGTGGTTGCATATGTCTCGAGGCAATTGCGTCCTCATGAAGTCAACTACCCGACCCACGATTTGGACTTAGAGGCGGTGTTCTTTGCTCTTATGGTGTGGAGACACTACCTTTATGGAGCAAGAATTGACGTGTTCAGTGACCACAAAAGTTTGAAGTACTTATTCAATCAGAGAGAGTTAAACATTCAGCAGAGAAGACAGATAGAAATTCTCAAGGACTATGATTTCACGTTGTCTTACCATCTTGGCAAAGTGAATGTAGTGGCCAACGCATTGAGCAGAAAATCATTATATGTGGCAGCTATGATGATGAAGGAGATGGAGTTAATTGAGGAGTTTCAAGACATGAATCTAGCTATAGAGGTAAGGCCAAGAGTTTGTACCTTGGGATGGTGACAATCCATAACGGCTTCTTGGTGCAAGTCCAAGATGATCAACAGGAAGATGCCTTCCTGCAAGACATGATGAAGTAGAAGAGTGAAGGGAAGGACTTGGAGTTCCACCGTGATGGGAGTGGGGTGATTAAATTTCAAGACAGGATGTGTATTCCCCAAGTTGATGAGTTGAAGCAAATGATACTTGAGAAGGCGCATAAAAGCAGAATGAGTTTCCACTTCGGTGCAACTAAGATGTATCAGAACCTCCATAAGAACTTTTGGTGTAATGGAATGAAGAATGATCTAGCAGAGTATGTGTCCAAGTGCCTGACTTGTCAGAAGACGAATTAAACTTCAACTTCTCAATAGAATAACAGAGCCCCAATGGCATTTTTATACAACCCAAAATTTTATATAAGCACATGTATTTACAATTGTTGCTATATATGGAGCATCAAAATACAGTTACAACAATTACATTCCTCCAAAATTTGTAGCTAAATAGTCTAGACCTATAGCTACGACCTAGATTGACAAAATGAATAAAGCTACAATTCTTCCAAATGGTATGTTGACTCCAAATATCCCTCAGTTAGACCTCCCAGCATAAGAAGTAGATGTATTGCCTGTCACATGTGCTCACGTACCATAATGCGGTCATCGCAGTACACACACACCCCATCACAAACAAAATGTAAGGGTGAGCTTATATAATCAATTGTTATAGTCTTGGAGTATGAAATATATTAGAAATATCTACATAGCTTTCATAATTCTCAACAAATAACACAATAATCTTAGCCAATGATACAACAAGTTCAGCCCATTCTTAGCCCATCTAATGCAAATGCAACAGCTCAATTCCAACCAGTTTCACTGTTCAAATAATCTAGAAGGAACCCACAATTTTCTCGTTTGGGAGCAACTCATTGCGGTACCTGGATCTAGACAAAGCACAATCAGCTTAATATGTTTCCAATTTGTTACATGCCTACGCCCTCAGCTCAGCATGTTTTCTAATCTTTACATGCCTACGCCCTCTAAATATATGACACAGCCCTAATATGACGATATTTCATGCAAATGCAACACAACAAAAAATCAAGCATTCTAACACATTATTTCACAGCACTTGTCGACCAGTATGAACACATTATACTACAACATTTCAACAATTATCTCAAATATAAACAATTTCATACCATACACAGAAAAACGTAAAGCCCCATCATACACATCGACTCATTACATCCACCAACCATAGTCAATCCACTCAGCCATAATTACTTTGGTTTCTACCCTATGGTTTGCTCATACACTAACTTATCTCAGCATCTGGTAAGTGAATAAGGCTTGCTCAAGTAAGCTTCCCTTAGCTGGAATGGATTTCTAAGATCGCACTCCTCATGAGTCCCAAAGAGATAGATTCATGTTCGGATATAGAATACGACTCGAAAGATCCAGATCTACTTAAAATAACAAGGTAGAAAACTCTTGAGAAAGAGGAAACAAAGCAACAAAGAGTGAAGATGGAGAACTAAGCTCTGGAACTCACCTAGATCTGGATGAGTAGACATTCTCACTTGGATCGGGAAGAAGTTTGGCTCCGAGAAAGTTTTCTCTAAGGGAAGAAGGTGAGTGAATAGAGAGAAAATGAGAGGGTAAGACTGTCTAGTAAGAAATGAAGGTTTTTCTACACCAAGGTTCCTTAAATGCCTTTTCAGGTCCGTGCGCTCTTCCTTGAGTGAGCTATCTCTCACTTGAGTGAGCTCTATTTTCGCTTGGGCAAGCTCACCCTTGCATGGGCAAGAAAACTAGACATTGGAACTACATAAAGTTTTGCTACTCTTGCTTGAACGAGAGACATCTCACCTAAGCGAGCTGCATTCTTGCCTAGGCAAGAATAGGTCCAGATAGCTCCCTATTTTTCCTGACCCCTCACCTGAGCGAGCTCCTCTCGCTTGAGCAAGGTCACTTCTCATCTAAGCGAGATCCATCAATGCCTAAGCAAAAGGATAGATGGGAAGGTATTATCTTATCTTGCTTGAGTGAGACTGATCTCGCTTGTGCGAGATCGCTCCAGAATGCTCAAATTAGCATGAACTAATCTTGCTAAATCCAAGTACGCCTCGCTTGAGTGAGAAACCTTGCACCCAAAACTCTCTATTTTCCCCAAGTATAAGGCAGCTATACTCTCACATCAAAACACACATATAAGACACTTAATATTCAATCA